TGATTTACTCACAGACTCAGGAGGAACATGCTCGTCATCTCTCTATTGTGCTACAAACATTGAGAGAACATAAGTTATATGTGAAGATGAGCAAATGTGAGTTTTGGATGAAGGAAGTGAATTTCCTTGGCCATGTTGTGTCCGAGCAAGGAGTAGCGATTGATCCCGCAAAGATTGAGGCCGTAATAAAATGGGAACCACCAAAGAACGTAATAGAAGTACGGAGTTTTTTGGGATTAGCCGGCTATTATCGTAGATTTGTGGAGGATTCTCCAAGCTTGCGATGCCGATGACTCGCCTTACAAAGAAGGGGGAGAAATTTTTGTGGACTCAAGTGTGTGAACTAGCTTTTCGTACCTTGAAGGAGAAGTTGACGACGACACCTATCCTCATTATTCCGAGTAGTGGGGAAGGCTACGATGTCTACACCGATGCTTCACTACGAGGCTTAGGATACGTTTTAATGCAAGGAGGGAAGGTAGTGGCGTATGGCTTGAGGCAACTCAAGGTGCATGAGTAGAATTATCCCACACACGACTTGGAGCTGGCTGCGGTGGTGTTTGCTCTTAAGTTGTAGAGATGTTATTTATACGGGGAGAAATTTCAAGTGTTGTTGGACCATAAAAGCCTCAAGTATATCTTCACACAGAAAGACTTGAATCTCCGGCAGAGAAGGTGGATTGAGTACTTGGAAGATTATGAGTTCACGCTAAACTACCATCCGGGGAAGGCCAATGTAGTTGCCAACGCTCTTAGCAGGAAGTCTTGGGATGAAATCAATTTTCTTATGGTAAATAGGTGGAAAATGATTGATGCATTGGAGGAGTATGATCTATGGGTGGATGGACCGGAGTATCAACCATATCTATTCAACCTTGTAGCTCAACCGACGCTTCGGCGACGGGTAGTGGAGTTGCAATGCCTGGATTCGGAACTCGATTGGATTAGAGCCGAATTGGAGAATGGAGAGGCGATTGAAGGATGGTCTTGGAAGAATGGAGAGTTGAGATATGGGGAGAAGCTATGTGTTCTCGATAATTCGTCCTTAAAGGAGGAGATATTGGGAGAGTGTCATCGCTCCAAATTTGCTATCCACCCCAGTAGCACAAAGATGTATAGGGATATGAAGCGTCAATACTAGTGGAGGGGAATGAAGCGAGATGTGCAATGTGCTAGTAGGTGAAGATTGAGCATCAAAGGCCAGGAGGAGTCCTACAGTCTTTGTCTATTCCAGAGTGAAAGTGGGATCACATCACCATGGACTTCGTGTCGTGTTTACCATAGACGTCGTGCGGGCATAATGCAGTGTGGGTCATTATGGATAAACTCACCAAGTCCGCTCACTTTTTGGGTATGAAGACCACGGATACATTCGAGACTTTGAGCCAGTTGTATATCTATGAGATAATGAGGTTACACGGCGTTCCGCTCTCGATTGTGTCGGATTGTGACTCTAGGTTTGTGGCGAGATTCTGGTAGAGTCTACAACAAGTGATGGGGATGGAGTTACACTTCAGTATGACTTTTCATCCCTAAATGGATGGCCAATCCGAGAGGGTGATACATATTGTGGAGGATATGTTACGCGCTTGCGCGTTGGACTTCAAGGGGAGTTGGAGAGACCACTTACCATTGGTAGAGTTTGCTTACAACAACAGCTATCAAGAAAGTATTGGGATGACACCGTATGAAGCATTGTATGGAAGACCATGCCGATCACCGACGTGTTGGTTAGAAGCCGGCGAGAGTAGTTTGTTTGGACCGGATATTGTTCGAGAAACTACGGAGAAGATTCAACTCATCAGAGAGAGGCTACGGACGGCGCAAAGTAGATAGAAGAGCTATGCGGACCACAGACGAAGACCCTTAGAATTCAAGGTGGGAGACTACGTATTTCTCAAGGTGTCACCTAAGAAAGACGTGTTTCGATTCGACAAGAAGGGGAAGTTAGCGCCAAGATATACCGGACCGTTTGAGGTAATCAAAGCGGTAGGTAAGACGACATATCAACTTCGACTACCAGCCCAGCTATCCGGAGTACATAATGTGTTCCACGTGTCCATGTTGAGAAGGTGTCACTCGGATGCAACTCCAGTTGTGAACTTGGAGGAGATTGAAATTCAAGACGGAGCAACCTACGAAGAACAACCGGCAGAAATTCTCAACGCCCAGGAAAAAGTGCTTCGCAACAAAGTTATCAGATTGGTGAAGGTTTTGTGGCAACACCATGGAGTAGAGGAAGCTACATGGGAACTGGAGCAAGAAATGCGGGAGAAGTATCCATATTTGTTTGCTACTTGAGGTAAGTTTCGAGGACGAAAATTTCTTTAAGGGGGTGGATTGTAACACCCCGCATTTTCTTTTATATATGTATATAGATATATAGTAAATAATTATGGTAAAAAAAATGTGGATATATGTAGTGATGTGTGTTTGAATTTGGTAGATTGGAAAAGTAAAGATTTAAAATGTTAGTGAAAATAATAGTTGAAATTTAAGAAGTGAAAATATGAAATTTTAGGTCCTAGAACTTGTATTAAATAGGTTTGGTGTAGAAATATGTGTTGGAGAGGTTTAGGATGGATTTGGTTGGCTTAGAAATGGATTGGAAATAGAAAAGGGACGAAGACAGGCTATGAACAGTGCACTGTTCACGTGCACTGCTACAACTTCAAGCTCGATTTAAACCTTGATGTAGTCAATATCTCTCAAAACTCAAAACATGAAATTTTTAGAGCTCTTTCGTATCATTCCATAGCATCTTTAATCATCTCAATCGGAGCTTGGATGAGAGAGTTATGCTCAGATAACGAAACGATATCGAAATAGTCCAATTAGCTTCGTTTTGCATTTAATGTCTCCTTTTGCATCCTAAATCAAAATATACGAATAATGAGTACCTTTAGGCTTTAAATAAGTATAAAAGGCTTTAAGAAACACCCTTTATCACCTTTTATTTGCAAACATCGTAAAACTTCATTAATAGCCGATTCGAATGAGTAAAATAGAAATTTTAGTGTTTCGGGTGTACGTTGACTTGAGTTTTGAGATAAATCATAAAAATAAATGTAATGAATCCAAAACGTTGACAAACCTTAGGGTAGTCATATGGATCAAATTGGAAATTTTTAGTGGTAAAATCGTAAATTTGGAGAAATTCAAAACAGCCTGTGAACAGTATTTTCGGGGGTGCTATGTTTTAAACTCATTTTCATCTCATTTGCCCTCATTTCCTTCACTTCCCTCACACCCCCACACCTCTTGAAACCCTAGAGGGCATTAGAGAAGAAAAAAGGAAGGGAAAAACAAGAGATTCAAGATCAAATATTCTTGTTCTTTACTCCAAAGCTAAAGATTCAAGGTAGGAGTTTTCTCTCATTCACTTACATTGAGGCTATGATATTTATATATGTATGTTTTGGCTATCAATGATATATATATGCCATGAAATCATCTTCTCTTAGACTTTTTGCAAGGATTACATGTTTTGAACAAAGTAGGGTTTAATACCCATGAAATCTCATTTCTAGTTTTAAAACCCTAATTTTTGGAGAGTGATGTATTTCCTTCCTAAATGCTTTCTTTAATATGAATTTCGAAAGCTTATTGTTTTGTGTTGGGTAGAAAAATGATGTTATTGTGATCTCATATATTTTCTTAGTTGGTTGTGGAATTGTTATATGATATTTTTTGGAAATTTTGGATAGATGCTTGTAAATTGGGATAAATGTTGGAATTGTATGCTTGGTTGAGTTGTTTGGGATGCACATGAGTGAGATGTTCTTTGTAAGGATGCTCACCCCTTCCCAAGAGATTCCTGGTAAGGATGTTTGGGAGAAAATGTAAAGATTGGTGAGAGGTTTCATGTTAGGATGTTTATCCATTTTTAAGAGGTTCCCGGTAAAGATGGTTGAAAATCAAAGGTGACCTAAAGGGGGTGGAGGTTACCACAAAGTATGCCACCTACCGAAAGAATTATTGGGAATTGGTTATGGCAATTAATGGTTATTATTTGTATGTGGTGCTCGTTTATTCATTTAAGTAATGTTTTTACATAAACTTGAGATCCTTTTTAAATGTCACTGTTTTATTTCAAATTATGTATATATGTTATGTTAAAATTGAGACCGACCGTTTTAAATGTTTTTCTAAACTTTGTATGGGTTTGGGAGAATTTTTCTCCAGAACTTCGTGCTCACCCCCTATCGTTAACATTTTTCAGATTATTCGCTTGAAGAGGAGGGCGTAAGGGTCGAGGAGCCCGCTACTTGGGAGACTCTACTGGACGGGAGTGTAAATCCCGAGGTGGACGCATAGAGCGACCTCCTTTCCTTTTGTACTATACTTGGACATTCTTTTGGAACATTGTGTAGTCTAACTTATTTTGTTTATTCCGCTGCGCTTCTTTAATTAATTTTTGAGATGTAATAGCGCCATGACTTGAGCTTATACAAATGAAATCTTGTTTCTTAAGGGATTATATTAGTGCTCTCATGATATGAATGGTTTTAGAATATAATGTCGTTCAGGGTGTGTTTTAGAGCGTTACACAAATCCATTACATCGGATTTTGATTGTTATCTATACTCGAGTGTTATGTAATTATATGAAAAATCTCTATACCCTTCTGTTATAAATATAAGCGTGATCTCAAAATGTCTTTCAACTCATGATTGAGTGTAACAGTCCATGTACAATGTTGTTGAAATCAAAAACATTTAGTAGTTTTCACTTAATTTTTTTTCATAACTCATTGGTAAAACCTTTTGAACTAATTTCATTTTCCAGAAAGGGGGCATAGAAGGGACTCAGGCAGAAAAAGGCAATGGATTTGCTAATTGTGTTAAAACATAGATATCATCAATTCACATTCAAATCAAAACGTAAACTTAATATCACCAGATTGAATCGTAACAATCAAACTGCTCTTCAAGACCATATTGGTTCAAGAAAAACAAATATATGTATGAACAAAAAGCCAAAAAAAAAAAAAAAAGCTCTCAGTTCATCAGTATAATCCCAAAAATTGCATAGAAAATCACTAGCAACTCCACATTGATAGTTAATTCAGATGCCTCACTGGTTTTGTCGGCAATACTCGACAGCACCTCTACAGGAAATTTGCATTCCCCTTGGGAAGGATCTGTAGTGACTATCCGGCTTATGTCCTCAAATTTACATGCAGCATCATTTGCCTTCTGGCTCCTTGTTTGGAAAAACATATTGAAGGCATAGGAAATATTCCCTTCATAATCCAAGTTATTGCATGATCCTCCGTATACCAAGCTCGAGCAATCAGATTGATTGCAAGCAAATTCAAAATTTCTGTTAACCTTTGCAAGGTCGCTGAAATCATTGGTGAACACACACCACCGTTTTGGCAAGTATACAACACCCTTAGCAGGATATAGGGCCATGGCATGCCCTTTGCCGGAGAAATCAAGTTGAAATTTAGGAGTCCCATCGTAATTGTAAATCCCCCAGTGGCGTTGAAACATACCCCTACTAGTATCTATCCTGTTTTCATCTACTAGGTTGTAGAAATACGCTTCCAAGGGTCCAGGTCGAAGTGGGGTTCCTTGGTCACTAGCCATTTTTTTGAGGAAGCCATCGTAGAACCTTTTAGCGTTCGCGATGTTGCAATTTGGGTCACCATCTGTTGGCCATCCAATCTGCCCAATGACTATTTTCATATTGGGGAAGCCAGCATTTTTCAGGGACCATACAAATGCATCATATGCTGCGTCAAACATATTGGTGTACGTAATATCACCATCCGTGATTGTACTGTTTGGGTCTTCACCATCAAAGAAAGCGAATTCAAGAGAATAATTATATTTCTGGAGAAGATATATTGGATTTATGGTAGCCATAAATGGGGCACCGCTGGCATTGAGATGCTCCAGCATCTGGATCATAGCGTCCTTTACCTCGTCACGAAAATGGCCAGCCTCTGATGGTTTTGTGCTTCCTAGTTTTAACACGTCCAAAAAATGGGGAACCGTAACTTTAATTTTGTCACCAAAACCTGCCTCATCAAGAGCTCCTTGAATGAGCTGAAATGCAGGAAGTACATCCTTTCGGTACGTATCATCTTTCTCATCCAACGAAAATGGTTCGTTTCCAACAACTACATACCTACATTGGTACCCAACATTATTGGATAAAAATTATGAAAAATAAAAACCTGGAAAGGAAATTTATTCAACCATTAGAAAAGAATAGAATGCTCACTTGAATTTGAAATCATTCCAATTTTGGGTGATAGAGGTTCTCACCCAATTTGTGGCATTATCTTTGTCCTTCATTATTTGCAAGTCATTGTTTGGTACCGCGATTGTGACCTGAATATTAGTGCCTGCAAAGGCGTCAAGCGCAATAGACTGTGCGCTGAACAACTTCACCTTACCAATCCCATTTGTTAAAAGCATGTCAACCACCATGGATGGAAGTAATTTTTGAGTTGTCTGCCTACCCCAGTTCACGCCTACACTATCGGTAATGTTAGCCTTGGCCATGACCAAAAGCATACAACTTGTGCATATCAAGATCATGATATTGGCCATAATTCAAGCCAGCCGATTGGCAGGTTTCTGGCACTTTAAGGGTAATAAAAATTGATCAACTAGAGAGAGAGAGGGAGGTGGAGAGAGAAACAGGGGGAGAATCATCAGAGGTTCGGGTACTAATATGGTGCTATAACAGCTCATAGAGCTGGAATTTTCTGATGTGTGTTTAAGCCCAAATGCTGGAACATAACATAATGGAAGAATTTTCCCAAATGGATGCTAAATAAAGCATTTCAAAAGATAGTCAGTCACCTGCTGTATTGTTTCTAATGTCAGCCGCCTGCTGGATTGTTTCTAATGTTAGTCATACAACCGTGGAACAAAATATTTACATTTGCTTATAATAGCACTTTCATGGTTGTCCTTTCAGCATACAATTAATTTTTCAATGGAAATTTCGAACATTATTCGGTATACAGAATAATCGTACCAGAGGTCTTATTGAAATTTATACACTATTTAATTAGATAGAATTCCAACATTAGCAGTTGATTATTTCTGGCAGGTAGTATTTTTTTCCTTGGGACCTGTGGCAGGAGAGGAGTGTAGGGGTCAACTAATCATGAATATTATGATTATGACTGGTGCACAGCCACATACCAATGCTATCAATTTAGGGCGGGGGGGAATGGAATTCTTTTATATATTGCCATTTGGAAATATTATGCTTTGACTCCTTTCACTATACCCTTTTTCACATTGCCCTAAACTATGATATTTTTTACGTTGCACCCTCAACTATGTGATTAATTTCACATCACCTCAATTATTATTTCATTTAACCCCTGAACTATGCAATTTTTTCAATTTGCTCCAATATGTTAGCAATATCTATCAAAAAAGATGTTTCGCTAGAGGCGATGTAAAACAATTTAAGTACTTGAGGGGGCAATGTGAAAAATTTAATAGTTCATAGGGCAAAGTGAAATTGAATCCCTAGTTTAGGGGGCTCAAAGTGTAATTTTCCCTTGCCATTTCAATCAAAAAATGTTGGAAGGAAACAAGTTGGCAATGAGTTCTGGGCCTTATTATAGAGTAACGATCATGTTGCATGATTTGAGTGAAAAGGGCAAAGTCTGGTGTTTCTGCCGATGGTTAATGAAGATAAAATACGATTCAAATGGATGTAGGATATATATCGTTGCCACTTACCCTATTACACTCCAAGCAAATGGATCTTGGACAAATCATAAGCTTGACCATAAGAAACTGAAAAGGGGAAAGATATCGACAACTTGACCAAGATTTGTTGACATTTTGGTTACAAACATAATTGAAATTGATTCAATGTGTTTGGTACTCGTGTGAATCATTGGATTCAACCAAGGCCGGAGCCACACATTGATTTTGTGGGGAGGCAGCAAAAATTTTTTTATATATATTTTAACATATTTTTTAATTTGTGCCCTCTTAACAAAAACTCTAATGTGCTTTAATCCTCTTAATCATCTCCCATATTTGGATTGAAGTTATTAACCCTCATTTAAGTAACCTAAAATAATGTTTACTTAGTTGAATCTGAAAATATTTTCAAAAAAATATTTTTAAGCTCTTTGTTCTCTCTCCATCTATCTCGCTCCTCTCTCTTACCATAGTTTAGATTTATTGAGGAACATGTTTGAGTCCATTAGTAATGGGATTATTAATGCTCACAAAATATTGGTTGGCCAGCTAGCATAGTCGGCGTCCAAGAATGCTTCTAGCTATAAGAGTACAGTGTGTATTAGAATTCTATGATCAATGATGCCCTTGATATTAGTCAAAATCTAGAAAGAAAGGATACTTGTCGGGGGGTCACTGTGGTAGTGTCGGACACATGTCTAACACGGATATGTGTGGGACACGGTCAGACACGTGTCTGAAACCTCTGGAAATGTCCTGCAAAATAGATTTAATTTTTTTCGAACTAGATACGGCTCGGATATGTGATGGATACAAGAAGGATACATCGGGGCTTCTTTTCTTATTTTAAGAACTTAGTGGGTTGAAACCAAAAAAAAAAAAAATGGAAAGAAGCGACATTGTTTTGGGGCTTAAAAAAAACAAACGGAAATCGTGCAGGTTTCCACTGTATTCTACTGTTCGCAAATTGCAAGTCGCAATAAAGAGAGAGAGAAAAAAAAGAGAGAGAAGAGGAGAGGAGTAGATATACAAAAGAGAAGAAGATGACCAACCTGCGAAGCTGCAACTTGGGAGTCTTAGATCTGCTGCTTGTGAGGATGAGATCTATTGTTATCAAGTTCCTTTCTTTTTTTGTTACCTCAGGTCTTTTTTTTTTTTTGTTTACTTCTGTTTTATGGGGACTTTGAGTGTGACGCCCCAAAATTCGTGAGTCATTTCTTCACTCGTCGATCACTCATCAACCCACGAAATACCATATAATCTGACACCATAGCGTTACACTCCATTCATCTGGATCATGACAAAACGGAATTTGGGCAGAGTCTCATTTGAACGAGATCTTTGCCTAATATACAACCTGTGCATATATTATACATATGACTATTCCAAGGTCCACATCCCAAAGTCTAGGATTTAAAATTTAATCGTTCATATCATTCGAAGAAAAGAACTTAAGATATGGAGGCTCGGAAGTGTTGAAGTTCAAAAAATAAATTTTAGGGAAGAGGTACCATTACTTGTGATAAGGAGTACCGGTACTTGAGCCCTTTGGAAGCCAAATACCGGTACTTGGGTCCGGTTCAAAATCAAGGATGAAGGAGGTACTAGTACCAGTACCTGTAAGCCTTAGAACCAGTACCTGGGCCCACTGGCAATGAGGTATCGGTACCTAAGCCCACTAGAAACTGGGTACCGATACCTGCAAGCATGAGTACCAGTAACATTTAACCGTACATACTCATTCCACATCTATTCATAATTAGATTAGATGTACAATTATAAAGTACCCTTATAAGCCTTTATCAATATTACAAGTTTTGTATTATAAAATGTACAATACCAAAAGACAATATTTATACAAGGATCTTTAATTCCAAAATCTAGAGCCACAAACTGGCTCTATCATCAATACGGGCCCAAGTGAGGGCCATTAGCTGGAGCCTGTCCAACACCTGAAATTTATTTCCATAAAGAGTGAGTCATGTTCAATAGGGTATCTCCTAATAAAATCATATACTAGCTTAGATGCATATGAAATGTCACGTGCAATGTCATATGCAAATCATCATGTTATGCATCCATTCAAACACATATTTTTCATAAATGAATGCTATAATTCCATATCATACCATGAGATGAGAACTCATGCATATTATGTAATCTGAGCTCCATTGGCTCCCATAACACATGCTATGTCATGTGTATACATTTGGGCATTCCAAACCTCCGCCATTGATGTTTGACATCTAATGACTATTTTACAAAATCTGTGTTTCCTTGGGGAAGGTGTTTATAGACTTCTTGCAACGGTCACCTAACTGACACGACATCTATGAACTTCCACCAATGATTCTGCGTACACTGACATATTTTATGGACTTATTACCAATGGAAGCACATATCTAAAATTTTTGGGGCTCGCAGCCGAGGGAGAATCTAGTTTTTTTTGCTAACCCCAACAAGTATTTTCAATGCAAACCCGTACGACTCAGTCAAACTTAGGTCCAATTTTTTTAAGCCCACATATCAACCCACCAAGGATGGTGTTTGTTAAAAACATGCATACACACTCACACTCTTGTTGAATGCCTAAGAATGCGATGCTATATGTGCATATGCAAATGTAATATACCATTGCATTTCATATCATCATGCTCAATATATCATGAAGTATAGAATAAACATGATCGTTATTCATAACCATTCCCAAGCATGCTATATGTAATTTTTACTCCAAATAATATTCTTGAATTTGTAAGCATTTTATTAAACACTTGGTAAACAAAAATATATAAACACATAGTATGCTCAAACAATCCATTTTATCAAACTCAAATCAAGCAAGAAATGGTTTTAACATATTCTCATACTCATTTTCTGTATCCTAGATACCCATTTCATATCACAACCTTAGATTGAAAAGAAACCTAGATAGGAGGGAACCCCACCTATTATAGCATAAGCCCAGGTAGTAGAAGTCTCAAACACTCCAAATCAAGCCTTTCAAGCTCTACCTCTAGATTCTCGTCCTTGATTTTTTTGGAGAAAGACATCATCTTTAGTATGGCTGCATAGCCCGTGTTGCATAGATCAACTTTAACTCTTGATCCAAAGCGATCCAACAGTTGGATCTTCGCAGATCTAAGGAAGAAGATGAAGAAAGCTTAAAAAATTCCTCTCTCTCTCTCTCTCACTCAGAAATTGCAGGCCAAAGAATGGGGAAAAAAATTAGATTTTCCCCCTTTAAATACTCTCCTTATGCTTGGCTCACAATGAGCAACAAATCCCACATTAATTGGTCCAATTTTATTTCAAAAGAATTACATCTCGCCTCATGATAAGTTTAGTATATTTTTATTGAACTAACTTTAAATTATTTTTTTGGTTGCACGAATAAAATGTAATCGCGTTTATTTTAGTCTCACGACACCTGAGCGCATCGTAAAATGCAAACAATCCAACTGCCTTAGACTTTAACAAAAATTGACTAGATAATTACTGTATTGTCATTCGAGTTTTAGGAAAATTTTAATTTTCAACCCGTTCCATAACGACTAATTACCGTTTTGCCCATTTTAATTCAGTTTTAATTTTTTTGGGTTTCACATTGAGATCTGTTGGTTTTTTAATTTTATTTTGTTAGGGTTTTAAGGTTTACAAATTTTGGAGATATTTTGGGAAATTTTTCTTTTTGATGTGCTGCTATTTTTAGCCGTGATGCTGTGGATGTGTATTTTTGAATCTTTGATCTATTTCAATTATAATAAAAAATTAATGTTTGCTATGTCTTATTTGTTATTATTAATGGTGTTGTTATACAAGACAAA